CTCCTCCTCCTCCTCCTCCGCCCCCTCCTCCGCCTCCACCCCCTCCTCTTCCTCCGCCTCCCTTTCCTCCTCTTCATCCTCCTCCTGTCCCCCCTTCTCTCGCGCAGCGGCGTCGGCCGTCCCCTGCGCCGCTGCCCGCGAAGCCCGTGCCGCGCGCGGCACGGTGTCCATGGCGAGGCGCGCCCATGCCCAAGGAGGGGGAAGGAGAGCGATGGCCAACCAAGTCCATAATCATCCTGAGGCCCCCTTCCGAGGAAGAAGGATGAGGAGCAGCGGCCGGGCCGTTCATGGAATGTCATCGGGGTTGCGGATGACGGACGCAATACCTTGCGTGCATCGACGTAGAAGGGTACATGGCTTACCTCGTCGATTACGCTGTAGGAGGAAATTGCGTAGTATCCTCCAGAGCGGTCGAATTTAAGGTTGGCCATTCTCACCATCATCATCGTGAGGTGTCACACGAAGAGGACGTGGTAGCTCCTGTAGGGCAGCAAGCAGGCCTCTCATAAGGCGGTGGGCAATGGCGACGCGCTGTCTGCGCTCGTCGTGTGAGATGCGGCCCGCCTCGTAGACGGCCTTAACGGGTCGAGGCTATTCCAGTGGCCGTCGTAGCTTAGCTGGTTGCCCTCGTAGCTCAGGTGGCCCTCCGAACTCTGCTGGTAACCCTCGCATCTCCGCTGGTGACCCTCGTAATTCAGCTGGTGGCTGGAGTAGCTCAGGTTGTAGCCCTCGTAGTTCAGCTGGTGGCCCCCGTAGGTCAGCATTCGGCCTTGGTAATTCTGGTAGTGCTGGAAGCTCAGCTGGTATTCCTTGAAGCCCTGCTGGTGGCTCTCGAAGTTCTTCTGGCAGTCCTTGAGGAACAGGGGGGGGTTTTCGTAGCTCTGCGGGCCCAAGTGGCTCAATTGCTGGTCGTCCTGGAGAATCCGATCGGTGTCCGTGTAGCTCAGCTCGTGGTCCTTGTAGTTCTGAGGGGGCACCGGTGGCTCAGCTGGCTTCTTGAGGCAGCGACGGAGGGATAATCGGCGGACCTGGTGTTCATCGCATGTGCGCGGCAACTTCCACGTCGTCCTTTCCAGTACCGCGTGGTGGTTGTAGCGTCGCCCCTGCTGGTCTATATAGCTGTTCCAGCCAGGTGGCAGGGAGCTGGCGCTGGTAGCTTTCTTAGTTGGGCCGGTAGCCCTCGTAACTCAGCGGCCGGCCCTCGTGGCCTTGCCTGTGGTCCTCGACGCCCAGTTCGTGGCCCTGGTAGCTCAGCGCGTGGTCCTCATAACTCAGCAGATTGTCCTCGTAGCTCTGCTGGTGAATGTCCTTCCTCAGCAAGTGGCTCAGCTCGTCGCCCTAGTAGCTCTGCGAGAGGCTCTCGTAGTCCTGCTCGTTGTGCGCGTAGCTCACGTCGTGGCCCTCGTAGCTCGGCTGGTGGGTCTCGGAGTTATGCTTCTGGTCCTTGCAGTTCAGCTCGTGGCCCTCGCCGTTCCGCAGGAGGCTCTGGTAGGTCTTCCTGTAGTCCTCGTAGCTCTGGCTGTGGTTCCCGTAGCTCAGCATGTGGCTCCCAAGGGTGTCGTAGCTGTGCTTCTGGTCCTGGTAGCTCATCTCGCAATGCTCGTAGCTCTGCCGGTGGCTCTCGTAGCTGTGCAACTGGGCCTCGTGGCTCAGCTTGTGGCTCTCGGAAGGCCGCTGGGGGCTCTGGTAGCTCTTTCGGTGGTTGTAGTAGCTGTACTTGTGGCCCTCGTTGCTAAGCTTATGTGCCTCGAAGGTCCGCTGCTTGCCCTGGTAGCTCTGGTGGTGGCCGTAATAGCTCTGTTTGCTGTCCTCGTAACACAGTTGGTGCCTCCAGTAACTCAGCTGGTGGTCCTCGTAGCTCATGAAGTGGCCCTCGTGGCGCAGCGATGGTCCTCGTGGTTCGGCTGGCAGTCCTCGTAGTACTGTTTGTGGCTTTCGAAGCTGAGCTTCAGGTCCTCATTGTTCAGCTCGTGGCTCTCGTGGCTCTGCTGGTGGCTCTCCTAGCTTGGCAGGCGGGTCTTGGAGCTCTCCTGCTCGCGCCCGTGGCTGAGCCAATGGCCCTGGCAGTTCTGGCTCCGGTCCTCGAAGGGCCGCTGGTGGCCCCAGTAGCTCTGCAGGCGGCGGTCGTCCAAGTGTGACAAACAAAAAGCGAGTGTGTGTGAAAAGCAAGTGTGATAAACCACACAAGTGCGATAACATACAAATGTGGTTTGAAAAGCAAGTGTGCTAAATGTGATATAACAAGGTTTTTTATCACACATGTTTTATATATTTACCACACGCGTTTGTTATCACTCTTGCTCTGCTCGTCGCCCTCGAAGCTCCGGTCGCGGCCGGAGTGGCTTCCCAGGCCGCCCACGCAGCCTGCGCCTCAGGGGCTCGGCTCGCGGCCCTCGTAGACCGGCCTGTGGCTCTCGCGGTTCAGCTGGTGGCTCTCCTAGCTCGACAGGTGGGCCTTGAAGCTCTTCCGGTAAGACTCGTCGATGAGCGTGTGGTCCTCGTAGTTCGGCTTGCGGTCCCCGGAGATCGGCTGGTGGCCGTGCTCGCTCTGCTAGGTGGCTGTAGCAGGTTGGGTTGATGCGCCCAGGGGGGCACGCTCTTTTCGTAGTCCCCGATGTCCACATCGGGGTCGTCGGCCGCCAAGTCGTAGTCTTCCACGTGTTGTGTGTGTCGCTGTAGTCCTGGCGGCTGTCGTCGCCTTCTGATTCGTCGTGATCTTGGAAGCCGGAGTAGTCTTGGGGGCCATATGAGCACACATCGTACTGTTGGTCGTACTTGTGGTCGCGCTCCAGAACCTCGACGAAGATGTATTTGTACTCCGCCTTGCCGTACTCGGTGTCGTACGTGCTGTATCTGGTGTTCCGCTTGCTGTCGTATTCTTCGCCATACTTCTGAAAAGCGGCGGTGGTTACGGTCATGGTATTGTTGGGAGTTGGTCGACGTCCATGTCTGATTTGGTATCTGATACGCCTGAGAGCGGATGCCACACTGATTCTCAGCATTGTTGCCAGCAGGTCTCCAAATTGGCGATCCTCGCAACGTAGCTATATCCAGACAAGGTTGGGCATGTCCTCCTACAGGCGGATTTTTGAAGACAAGTAACCACACATTGACAACACAAAATTCAAAAAAAAATGATCCGAAATAGTAAAAAATCATCCCCAGTCTATTTTTGACTATTTTTGAATATTCCTTCTGTAAAGGGACATGCCCGACTTAAACATAGATCTGGGTGAACCGCCCGTGTATGCCGATGGTTCGCATGTAGATTTTGAAGATCAGCTCGAATGCCGCATGGCTACTGGTGCCCGCCAGCCGCGGCGCGGCCAGCTGGCCGAAGCCGACCTCCACTCGCACGCGGGAGATACGAATTTCCCGCAAACGGCCTTCCTCGTCCCCTTTTTTGTCTTCGGGGGCGGCCAAGAAGGGGGGCGTCCAAGAGGGGGGGTCGCAAATCATGGCCTGCGGCATGTGCGCGGCCGAGGGGGGGGGCCAGGGACGCAATGGAATAAGAAGAAACACTATGGCATCTGGGGAAATATCATGGCACCCGCCATGATACGGCAGGTTCGCGTCGTGACGACCCCAGCGTTGGTCTCTGACACCGCAGGGATCGTTCAACCTTGAACGATCGGCCGCTGCCGCAACGTCCGATCGTTCAACATCGATCGATTCTGGGTCGCCGCCGGCGTTCAACCTTGAACGCCCGCGCTGGGGTCGCCGCCGGTCGACACGACGCGAACCTGCCGTATCCACCCCCCCTTAAATCATCCCCCCACCCTTGGCCGCCCCCGATGCCTCCGCAGGCCGCGCCGCGGGCGCAGGCCGGGAACGTCGTCAGGGGCGAAAGACGAGCGCGGGACGGCGGGCTCGAGGCGGCATCTGTGCACAGGGGTGCGCTCGGGCCAAGACCTTTCTCCTCCTCCTCCTCCGCCTCCGCCTCCTCCTCCTCCTCCTCCTCCTCCTCCTCCTTTGCCTCCTCCTCCTCCTTTGCCTCCTCCTCCTCCTCCTCCTCCTCCTCCTCCTCCTTCGCCTCCTCCTCCGCCTCCTCCTCTCCCTCCTCCTCCTCCTCCCCCTCCTTTGCCTCCTCCTCCTCCTCCTCCTCCTCCTCCTCCTCCTCCTCCTCCGCCTCCCTGGTCCCGCCTCGCACCGATCCTGGCCAGGCCCATCCCCTCGGGGGCCGAGGATCGGTGAAGGCGCCCTCCTGGCTCCGGGCGCTGCCGGAGGTGGTCATGGCCCGAGAGGTGCTCGCGCCATCTTGGAGCCCCTGGGGCACTCTGCGTGGGCCTCGCGTTGGGCGCCCCGGATGCCATCTGCGGCCTCCCCGGGAATCCTGGGGACGGCCTGGGCGAGGGACACCTCTGTGGCAGCACCCGGTGTCTTGGCCGGGGAGGCGCGTGTCGAAGCAAGGCGACTTGCGACACTGGCAGCTCAAAATCGGTCCCTGGACCCCACCCAGGATCCAACCGCACCGGTTCTTCGAGCTGCGTCCCGCCGTGGTGTCGAGGGCCCCCCCGACGGCCAACTTCCGTTCTCTCAGCTCGTCCTCCTCTGAAACACCCGTTGGCGGCGCGGACAAGAGGATATGGGGGAGGGGTGAAGGTTTCTTAGAAAAAGGATGCTTTTCTGAAAAAGCGCGAGCCTTGCGTCTATCGATAAGGCGGGCGCCTTCAAAGAAGCAGGCTGCTTTTAATAAGCCTTCCCCCCTCGGGGGCGTGCAAAAGGGGGGCGTCCAAGAGGGGGGGGGGGCCCAAATCATGGCAGGCGGTATGTGCGCGGCCCCGGGCGGGGGGGGGGGGGGCGTCGGGGACTTCTTGTAATAAGAAGGGCGCCATGGAATCTGGGGAGATGTCTTGTGTGTGTCTGGGGGGGGGAGCTCTTTAGAGACCCCCCGCGTCAACGACGAACGGCACGCGCACCCACCAGAGTGCAATCTCCCCTGAGGGGAATCCTAAAGAGAGAGGCGATCTCTGCCACCCTGACGCACACAAGAGACATCATGGCCCCCGCAACGGTGTCCTCCGCCCCTAGTCGTCACCCCCCCATTTGCCGCCCCCAACCTCCTCCCCCCTGCTCCCCTTCTGCGCGTGGCCGCACACGATGGCTCGGCCAGGGAGACGCACGCACCGACGTCGGGCCGCCCAAGGCCGGGCCGGCCGGGATCGGCGCGGCGGGTCCTCCGCCTCCTCCTCCTCCTCCTCCTCCTCCTCCTCCGGGGGCCCCGCCCGGGCCTGAGGACCAGCTTGCCGCCCGCGGCCGCGCTCATGTTCAGGAAGTCCGAGAACGTGGCCGTGCAGAGCACGCAGAAATCACCCTCGTCGTCGAGGTACTTCGCGGTGACCTCGCCGGGGTAGATCTTGCGGATGGCCTCCTCGATGGCCTCGTACTTCACCTGCTGCCCCGTACATGTGCGCGTCGTGGCACAAGTCACGTTGTTTTTGTTCAGCTTTCGTTGCCGATTCGGGCCTCTGGGGACCCTCGCCGGGCCCCAAGACCGCCCAAAACGGCTCGGGATGAAGCACTGGCCCCAGGGAAAGGGTCGGGACTTCAGGGGAGACGGGATTGACCAAAATCAGAACACAGGGTGGGTGCCTGCTGCTCCTGTAGCGGCACGCGGTGCACGGTGTCCTGGCACTTGATCTTGAGCGTGGCCGCGGTCGCCATCTCCAAATGTTTCGATTGCTTGTATTTAGTGGGGAATGTCCGGACAACGCCGTGTAAGCCCCGGGAGTTTTGCACTTCCTCTTTGCCCGACTCTGAAGTTCGAGCCAAGCTGGCACATCGAAGATGATGACGACGACGATGATGATGATGATGGTGATGATGATGCTGCTGCTGATGTTGATGATGATGATGACGATGATGATGATGATGATGATGATGATGGTGATGATGATGATGATGGTGATGATGATGATGATGCTGTCGACGATGATGAACTGGAGTGGCGAACGGTGGCTGACATGGTACTTCCAGGGAACGATGGCCACGATGACTTACGTATGCGTCGGGCCCGCTGAAAGGAGAGTTAGCATACTGAGGTACTGAGGTCTCGAATTGGCATTTTTCGGGTGTTGCCCGAGGTCACCTTGGCCCGAGGTGACCTCAGTTTTCCCAGGGAGCCTCATGAGCCCCAGGGGGACGACAGAGGAACCCCAGAAGGACCGACCCCAACGGCTCCGACATCGCGCGGCAAGTGGGGGCACCCTGGGGCAGGATCACGTCTGGCAGCCTCTGGCTCTTGTGGGCCGGTGGGCCGCCCAAGGTGGTCACGCCAAGACTCGTCCCACTCCGACACGGGGCTCTGCTGGACAACTACTGCACGGTGAGGGCAGTGGAAAAGGAACCAATGGATAAGGAATCCAGGGTCTCGAAGCTAGTGGGACTTCGATCGTTGATTGGCCATCGATATCACCGCCGCCCTTATTGGACAAGGGAACCCCTCTTGTGGGGCCGCCAGACGCTGCGCTGGGTGGCGCGGGCGCATGTGGCCACCGTCGGTGGCGCCCCCTATGGGGCCTCGAAGCGCTGAGCTGGGTGGGGCGGGCGCATGTGGTCACAGCCGCTGGTGCCCTCGGTGCAGCTGCACAGTGGGCCACGAAGCGCTGTTCTGGGCGAGGAAGACGCATGCGGTCACAACCACTGGGGCCATCGGTGGAATCCCTATGGGGCCACGAAGCGCTGTGCTGGATGGCGCGGACGCATGTGGTCACAACCATTGGGGCGTTCGGTGGAACCATCTATGGGGCCTCGAAGCCTCGTGTTGGGTGGCGCGGGCGCATGTGGCCGCGGCCAGTGGGGCCTTCGGTGGAATTCCCTCGCGGGCCACGACGCTCTGTGCTGGGTGGCGCGGTACACTTTGGTCACAGCTTCTGGGGCTCTCGGTGGAATTCCTCATCGGGCCGCGAAGCGCTGTGCTGTGTGGCGCGGGCGCATGTGGGCGCAGCCATTTGGGCCTTCGGTGGAGCTCCCTGTTGGGCGTTGAAAACCTGTGCTCGGACGCGCGGACGCATGTGGTGACAGCCACTGAGGCCTTCGGTGGAGCTTCCCATTGGAGTTTCGAAGAGGCGTGCTGAGTGGCGTAGGCGTATGTGGCCACAGCCACCGGGGCCTACTGTGGAGCTCACGATGGCGCAACGAAACGCTGTTTTGGGTGGCGAACACGCGTGTCTTCCGTGGAGCTCCGTCACGGGCAGCGAAGCACTGTGCTGGGTGGCTCAGGCGCATGTGGCCACAGCCTTTGGGGCCTTCGGTAGGTCCTCTTGGCGAAACGGAACGCTGTGCTGGGTGGCGCGGACGCGTAAGGTCACAGCCACTGGGGCCTTCGGTGGACGCCCTATGGGGCCACGAACCGCTGTGCTGGGTGGAAGGACGCTTGCGGTCACAAACACTGGGGCTTTCGGCGGGGCTCCCCTACGGGGCCGCGAAACGTTGTGCTAAGTGGCGCGGGAACATGAGGTCACAGCCACTGGGGCCTTCCGTGGAGATCGCTATGGGGGCCACGAAACGCAGTGCTGACAATGGCGAGCGCATGTGGTCACAACCATTGGGGCCTACGGTGGAGCTCCCTGTGGGGCCGCGAAGCGCTGTGCTGGGAAGCGCGGGCGCATGTGGTCACGGCCGCGGGGGCATACGGTGGAGCTCACTATGGGGCCGCGGAGCGCTGTGCTGGGTGGCGCGGACGCATATGGTCTCAGCAACGGGGGTCTTCGCTGGAGCTCCGTATGGGGCCGCGAAATGTTGTGCTGGGTGGCGCGGGCGCACGTGACCGCAGCCACTAGGCCCTTCGGTGGGGCTCTCTATGGGGTCACGAAGCGCTGTGCCGGACGGCGCGGACGCATGTGGTCACATCCGCTGGGGCCATCGGTGGAACTCCCCATGGGGCCGCGAAGCGCTGTGCTGTGTGGCGTGGACGCATGTGGGCGCAGCCGCTTGGGCCTTCGGTGGAGCTCCCCATGGGGCCGCGAAGCGCCGTGCTGGGCGAGCGGAAATGGCGGGCGCGCGGAAGGCAGAGACAAGGGCGGGAGGAGGAGAAGGAGGAGAAACGCGAGGCGGTGTCTCTTCAAAACGGGGGCCCAAAGCCGCAGGACGGCGGGGAAAACTCAGCGCGCGACCGAGCAGAGCGCGGCGCCCCCCCCCCTGAGCGCACCGAGCGGGTGAAAGGGAGGGGCGCGCAATATCGGTCGTCGCACCAATACCTCGAAACTGGGGGCCCGTCTCTGGAGCCGCGCCCGCCAAACCCGCCGCGACCATTCCGCTGATGAGAGCACCAGTGCAACAGGGCGCACGCACCACCGAGGCCGACGTGGACGGGTGAAGAAAAAACATTGGACAGCGCAACCATGAACAACCAAGGGAGGCCGATGTTCACCCCCTTTGTTCCCGCCGCTGGGAAGAAGCCCAGCCGGCCCGAGCGGCCCTTCACATCCCTAGAAACTGCTATGTGACTGCGAAGGCGCCGGAGAAGTTCGATGCAGATTGGGGCAGCAGAAGACCTCCGCTGCACCCGCCGCTGGAAATGCGGCCGCCCAGCCCGCGCCTGCCATCGACAACGCGGAAGTAGCTGTGGGGCTGCGAAGGCGCCTCGCCGTCAGACCCGAGAGCTCCAGAGCGCGCGCCCCACTCCGCTGCGCCGCCAGGAAAAAATAACTCCGCCTGTTCGCTGTCGCCGAAGACCAGGGACAACTGAACTGTCAGCATCGCTACAACGAACGGAATTAGGACCTTCATGAGCACGCGCATTCGACTGGACATGAATTCCACGACGACAAGCGCAGTCTGAAACACCACCTGCCGTCTGTTCGGAGGGAAGCCAATTGCAGGCTGGAGATTGCTGCCGCGGGCCCCCCGCGAACGCCTACGAGGCGCTTGTGCGCGGGGGGGGGGGGGGTTCCCGTGACCGAGCGGCCTTCGCCGCTCTCCCTCGCGCATCACCTGTGTCCTGGAGCTGCCCCCGCGGATCGCCGCCTTGTTCGCCACCTGCTCGCGCCGCCGACTCTGCCGACCCTGGCGCTGGAGCCGCTGGATGCATCCGTCGCCTCCTCGCCGAAAGGGGGTCCCTTCAGAAGCTGTGCCCAGCTCTCCAACCTTGCGTTTCTTCCCCAGACGTTCGGCGCATGCTTCGTTGGCAGCTTCGACGCGCTTCGCTTCCTCCGCCGCCTTTGCGACGAGGAGAGTCTGAGCGAGCTGGTTGATGCCATCTTCGAGCTGCTTGCCTCGTTCCTCCACCAACTCCCAGTCCTCGAGCTCGTAGGTGCTCCGTAGAGCCGAGCAGCTTCGCAGGTTCGATGATGAGCAATTTGGTGAAACCTATTCCAGGATGCTTGCAACTGCGGGGTGATAACCAAGCTGGGCCCACTGTCCGGTGCACCCGACTCATGTCGTTCTTGCGCCAACTTGCGATGACTCGGTTCAGACTCCTCGAGCTCCTCAGCAGCTCCTCGAGCCTCGTGCCACTGAACACCTGCTGATAATTTCTTATCGGCCGCCCGCACCTTGAAGCGAGCGAACAAAACCTCTTGAAGAAGAGTTGGGGGCTAGGAGCCTGCTCTGGTAGAACCAACGCCCGACGACGATGGGCCGCCCCAGCCTTGTCCCTAGCCTTCCCCAACAATGCTGCCAGGTCAGAGTGCTCATTTCCCGATAATGTGGGCACCTCCTTGCCAGAGGCCACGCCTTGGTCTTTGGGGGCCTGAGAAAGTAACAACTCATGGTACTGCTGCTGGCCGGAATGGCCACGCGGGGCGAACGGAGACGAAACCTACGGATTCGAAAACGCAGCGCCCCACATGACATACCACCTGGCGGCTGGACCGGAGGGGAGCCACAAAAAGTCCAGCTCGCCCCGCACTGCTTGCAACTGTTGGAATGAATATTGTTCCTTTCGCACCAGTGCAATGGGCATGTTTAACTGGCGTGATGTTGCGGTTGCTGCCGGCTGCCTCCCACTTGACTGAAGCCCCGACGTGAAAGCAGGACAGGGGTGGTTGCCATCGCCGCCATAGCCAGCATCAGCCGACCTTGGCAATTGCGACGGGGGCGACACGAGAAACTCGAAGTACAGGGGGGTGGGGAAGAACTCCCCGAACCAACCTTGGCACGCAGGCGCTGTGTGCCGTCTTGACGAGGCACCTGCCACACTCAACGCGACATGAATGCAAAAATGCTACACTTAGCGTGACATCAAGTAACAAATAATAGGTGTGCAGATATATACAGAAGGATATATTATAGAGAGAGAGAGAGAGAGAGAGAGAGAGAGAGAGAGAGAGAGAGAGAGAGAGAGAGAGAGAGAAAAAAAATAAAGAAAGCCCAAACTCACCAGCTTACTCCTGTGGGCCCCTCCCCTGCAGCAGGTTCACTGACAGACCTCCAAACGGTCTTACACTGTTACACGGGGAAAAGGGGCACCCCTTCACTCTTATCCTCAACGCGAAGATGTTTTCCCTCCACGCTCTGCGAACGCTCCGTTGGGTGATTTCGCACAGCAACGCTCGGGGGGTCGATTCCCCCCCGAGCGACAAAAGCATGGAAAGTATATCGTTCTCTCATAATCAAATTTCCTGCGCATTCACTCGCTGCCTGAGTCTACGGCTCTCTCGAATAGAACCTGTTGCTCTACTGAATCGAGGTCAACATATCTGAGAAACTGCGCTGATCTCCATTCGCCGGCAGCCAAGATAGCACCCAGGGGCTCTCCCTGAGCAGCCATCTCCGTCGCCCTTCCTGCCCTGAATGACTTCAGGGTGTAGGGCGGAGCATCCGGCACTAAAGCTAACGTTAAGAATCTCCTCAGGGTGCTCGTGAATGCGCCACTGTTAAAATCGAAGAGACGCTGGCCGAGCCCCCTTCCTTGCAAGTGCGCGATGACCCTGTGCACGGGGCACGAGCGCACCCTGGAAGTGGAACAAGAACACCTCCTCGCAAGCCGAGAACCTGCCGGCCTGTGCTTGCGACGACGCAGAATCAGGTGCAGCGCGCCTTCTGCGAGCCAGACTGCGGAATGCCTACCCTCGGGAAGGTTGTCCGCCTCATGCGGTCCGCCGGCCTCCAGGGGCACTCCTTCTGACTGCACCCGCAAGAGGAAAGCCCAGCTGATGACGACCAGCTCCTGGAATCCATTGCACAACCGTGCAGCATCTGCCAACTGGATCACCTTGTTCAGAACAGCTGATGTCAGCAAGTGCGCAACCCTGGCAGGCCCTCCCGTGTACCGCAGAGAACGCTTGTGAACACCTGCTAAGGTCTGGCGGACTGCGCCCCCGTGCCACGACACGTCCAAGTTCAAATGTACGCATGTCCATTTCACGTATCCGATGTAGTTGCTGGCCGTCTTCCCAGACCGGAATATTGCAAGGAATTCGCACGCTTGGGTCTCCGAGCGCGGCGGCAAAGTTGTCTGGGCGGGCATTCCCAGAATATGCACTGCGAAAGCATGCCACGCCTTGAGGGCACTCGACACGCTGGCTAGCGAAGCCCTGGCAGACTCCGTCTTCAGGAGGCAAACGCGTTCTTGCAGAACGCTATGCGGGTTCTGCCCTCGAGCTTTCGCTGCTGCCAGTCTACGGATGACGTCCATGGGCTTCGCGTCTCGGTCGAAATTCACAATGCCCATGCTGTTGAGTTCAGCCGACACGTGATCTTCCAGCTCTCTCACAACTTGTGGCGATATGGTGTCGGCGAATCCCTCTGCCGATGAAACAGATGGGGGTGCTGGCTCCGCTGGGGCGAGTTCTATCGCCCTCGGCTGAATTAGAGCCGCGCGCGCCAGCAAGCGACGTGTGGCAGCTCTCAACGCCGGTGAATCTATCACGCCGTCGAGCTCCTCGGCCGTTGAACCGCCCAGGTGGCTGATGTGGTCGAAGCCGCGCAACGTGAGAATCAGACCCAGGCGCTGCCGGAGACGACAAAGCATTGGCGGCGAATCCATCTCTTCCAGAACATCTGCCCAAACATTCACTGTGCAGAGGAAAGACTCGTTCTTGAAACCTTTCAACTCTCCGCGCACATCAGCGCCTAAGATGTCCAATGAATCAGTTCCCCTGACGTCCAGAAGCCACTTTTGTTTCAGAACCATTGAGAATATCACAGCCCGGGGGTGCGGCGACCGTCTCCACAAGGACGCGTCCGCTACCAAATGGCCAATGCCAGTGACAGCCAGTACTTGTCTGGTCACACGGAGTTGGCCCAATGATCTGAGCAAAGGATAGAGGCGAAGATTGTCACCTCTGACGAGCGCAGACAGCACCTGGTCACGCAGGGCGTACGCTCTAGCGCACTCAGACGGGCGATCAACTTTTGATGTGGTGTCCTGCGACTTCTTTGGAAGCAACACTCCAGCGGCGCGAAGTTGGGACTCTGACCACTTCGTCTCTCCTGCTGGGTGTGTCGTCTTCTTTTTGCTGCCTGGGGCCATGCCCCTCTCACGAGGGGTGGGCGGGCGGTAAGTTTTTGCGCTCGACCGCTTGAGCCGCCTGAGCCCAGACGGCTACGGACCCGCTCTCTCCGTCCCGTGTGGCGCAGCACACGGTGCATTCGCTGGGGTCACCGAAAGAAGCAGCACCTGCTCGGTCTGGGTCGAGAGCCCAGGAATGGATGAGAGCGAAGCACGGTTATTAGCTGAGGTCCCACCAGGACCCCACAAGAAACGAGTTGCTCTGACAGGATTCGGAGGCGAGTCCGTGAATGGCGACAATGGCGAAGCACGGAAACTCCATGACGGTCGTGCGACGACAGCCGAAACCAGAGGGGAGAGGAGGAGCTCGGAATCTCAGATCGCGGCGGGGCCAGAGATCTGGAACGCAGGACGCCTGAAGCCCTCCGACAGGATGGGTGCCGGCGCCGTTGCCCTGCTCCTCTCCTCCCTGCGCCGCCTGTTGTCTGAGCACGACACCCACTCGAACGCCTCGCTCTCCGAGACTGTCTGGTGGCTCCCTGCTGGGAGGGGACGACAGACGAAGAGAGGGGGAAGAGGAGGAGCTCGGAATCTAAGATCGCGGCGGGGCCAGAGCTCTGGAACGCTCGGCGCCTGAAGCCCCCCTACAGGATGGGTGCCGGCACTCTACGACCGTCGTCCGAGAGTCGTTCACTGGCTCCTTTGGGCAAGCTCCCAACGAGTTGGGTTTCCGCCCAAACTCACCAGCTTACTCCTGTGGGTCCCTCCCCTGCAGCAGGTTCACTGACAGACCTCCAAACGGTCTTACACTGTTACACGGGGAAAAGGGGCACCCCTTCACACTTATCCTCAACACGAAGATGTTTTCCCTCCACGCTCTGCGAACGCTCCGTTGGGTGATTTCGCACAGCAACGCTCGGGGGGTCGATTCCCCCCAACGCTGCCGACCCCAACGTTGCCTCGAACCACTCCCGCTGCATGGGCAGCGGCTGCAAGTAGGAGAATAATGTGAAATGATAAATGACACACGTTTCTCACACAATCTGCCAGTCCCACGTTCGCAAGAGCCAGATCGGTAGAGCAGGCTGCACGAATTTAGCAGACAACATACGCATCAAGCTAAAATCGTTGCGAGACGGTCCGTCTGCCAGGTTGGCCCCGGACTCCACCCTCCCTAAAAGGAGAGATATGTCGCGCGAGGCCATATCTAACCAAGACATTCCTATGCCGAAATTCATCTCCGGAGCGCGCCCGCTCCCGTTGATGAGTGCGTTAAGCACTCCATCATTATCTATGTATTCGGTAACTAACGCTTCCGTAATGTCAAAGGTGTGATACGCTAAAACGAAAGCAAGGAATTCTTGGTACCCGATCTGGTGGTCATCTCTGTCAAGAAGCAGATCCCATACCTGCTCCGGAACAATTGCGCACGTCCACAACCAGGTGAAATTACCTCCTGGCTCGTGGAACGCTGCCACCGCTGCAATGCATCTGCTCTCACCCGACGCATCTGTAAACATCGTTACTCTGCGTCGTCTTGAAACGTCAGCAAAACGACGATGAGGTGGCCGTAGCGACAGGTAGTGCTGCCAGAAAAGGTTAACTCTCCGGAGCAGAGGCGGCATGCCGGGTAGAGGCGCGTAGGCCTGCGCAAAGAAAGGCTTGACGAATGCTCTGCCTACTTTGCACCTGGAAGACGTAATGGCTGACCCGAGGCGACCCGCTGTACGAATGGCTGCGTGTGGGTCAACACAGCCTTCCTGGAGCTGCACTTCGAGATCTCGAAGCCAGCGCCGGGCCTTCTCTGGCGACACGGATGATGAAATGGCTCCTCCTTCGAGGTAGACTTCCACTACCGTGCCCAGTACAGGGAGCCTCAAAGTAGCATCTTCGTCTTTAGCTGGATCTGTAACCAAGCCCAACAATGCCAGGACTTCGGTCACCAACCAGCCTCCCGTGACTCCTACGCCCTTCCTCGACACTCCGAAGAAATCGTCCACGTACCTGAATACAGGCGCGTGGAACTTTACGAGGACAACGTGCCGGACAAAACTCCCTAGCCGGTGCCACGCCGCATTTGCGGCTGAGGCTCCAAACATCATGCCGAAATGGCGTGCGCACCACAACTTACCGTTCCAGGTGAAAACATACCACGAGAATTCCTCGTGCTCTGCTGAGATTGGAACCCGCCGGTAAGCTTTTGATACGTCCCGTTTCCACAGGCGAGGTTCGACTCCATGGCGGAGAAGGTGAAGCGCAGCTGATACTAGCTCGTCTATTCCGTCATGCTGGGCCCGATCAGGGATGAAAGTGGCTTTGTTCTGCCCCCCTTCCGTTTCGTCATCAATTGGCCTCGTTCTCCACCCTTTTGAACGCTCTTCCCTTGCAGGAAAACGTCTCGCCAGGGTTTTGGATTGCACGATGTCTTGAGTTAGCAATTGAGGGACTGAGCAGAAGCCATCACTGGCATCTTCTAGGGTGAGCTTCATGATGTCATCGTCCCATTCGCTGGGTCGCATCTCCGTGATAATCCGCAAATTTCTGTCTTCGCGTTCGTTCCTCAGCTGCTCTACCTCGACAGGGTTCCAGGTAGGCTTGCCGTCGGGCCGCGTGTCCGGCCCGCTCCGAGGAAGCTGACCGACCAACGGGAATCCCGCTAAGTCGTCTAGTAATCGCGGATCCTGTGATTGGTAGTTCAACTCAGCGAACAAGGAGTGAAACAAAGGAATATTGAGTTTCGCTGCAACAGGATTGCACTCGCTGTCCAGTTGTGGAGCGCTAGCAATTCCGCTGCTCGCGGAGGCCGCGCGTTGCTGCAGTTCTTGGAACGACGCAAGGCGAAAAGCATCTATGTCTTGAGCTCCATGGTCCCTCTCCCAATCTAGAGCCAAACGGACTCTATCAGGAAGTACTCTGTGGAGTAGATCTTCTTCGTCAGGATGCCGCGCGGCGAGCGCGAAAGCTACGTGCCCCATGACCGAGAACCCCTTTGGGGCGCCCAGGCCCCGCGGAACAAACGGATCCTCAGGGTCAAGTAGGGCATGGTTGTGGTCACTTGCACAATCGGCACCGCTGCTGCCGGCATCTGCTTCCTCTGCATGCGCAGAAGATAGTCAATGCGACCCGCGACCGCCAGACTTCCCCGCCTTCCTGTCCTTGAAGTTCAGGAACTTCATCCGCTTGTTGCTGACCCAGCCCTCGGTCTCAGAGTGCTGCCAGTTCGTGTTGTCGGCCCCCTTCTTTCCTCCTCCTTTGCCCCCCTTGCCGTCCGCCAGCTGCTTCTGCGCCCACGCGTGCGTCTGCTTCGCCTGGCTGAGCTGCTGCTGCGCGTGCGCCAAGGACTTGGCTGCCTCCGCCGAACGCTTCTGGATTGCGTCGGCTGCTGCCTGCTGCTTGGAGAGGACGGACTCAAGAGGATATTGCGAGGGGAGCGAAGCGCCTGCTGAAACCGGCGCGTTGGTCGACCTCAGACCTGCTGCCTCGAGCACGGACTCCAGGCGCAGTGTGGCCGCCTCAAGGATTGTCTCGTCCACCGTTCTGAAGGATTTCTGTACGTCCAGATCTGGCTCCGATAAGTTTGCCCTCTTGGCCAACTGCCGCCGGAACAAATCATCGTATAGGATGATCAGGAACTGGCTGTGCTTCACCGACTTGTGCTTCTCCACGAGCTTCGCCAACTCGTCTTTGTAGCAAATGACAGTGGCCCACGTTAGCTGCTGCATTGCCACGGCTGCCACCGCGTAGCGGTCGAATGCCGTGGTCCACTGCACGAAGGACCGGAAGAAACGGCGGGTGGCCGTTGCACTCCTCAACGCGCTGGTAAGCTGACCGAGCGTTGCAACTGACGACGACGGGTCCAGCGTCGAACCCCATTCGCCACCTGTGAGTGCCTTACCCCCGATGGCGTCTGAGGGGAGCCACAGCGGGAGGATCTCTTTGGCTGTGAGATCTACATACGAGAACGCTGTCCGACTGTTCTTCTCAGCGGCAACGTTCTCTGCGTGCAGCACACGCCAAACCAGCTCTTCAGCCTGGAGGTGGTACGGGAGCCCTCCGAGCCCCGCTTTGGCAAGCTTGTCTGCGACATTCACCTTGTCAGGTGCTATCGCCAACAGCTTTGCCACCACCTCTGCTGAGTAATCTGCCCCAACCATGTCCAGGACATCCCGTTGCATGGTTTGGGGAAGGGTTGGCTGGTGCTGCTGTGGGAGAACAGATGTAGCAGGTGCTGACGCTGCACCACTGCTCTGCTGCTCGGGGTTTGCAAACCGAATTGTACGACGGGCGAGTCCCAACACAGGCAGGGGCAAGTCGTTTTTCACATCTTTTTCAACCAGGCCGATCAGCTGACCAGGGTCGGTGATCTTGTTCTCCTTGAAGTAGGCCTCCGTTGCCGCTAGGATCTCTCCTGCTGGCTCTTTGGCGTCCACGTTCTTGATGTAAGTCTCCAAAGAAACCTCTGCCATCGGGAGAAGTGGGATGACCAGAAGCTGAAAGTGTGTAAAAGTTTTTGCGCTCAACCGCTTGAGCCGCCTGAGCCCAGACGGCTACGGACCCGCTCTCTCCGTCCCGTGTGGCGCAGCACACGGTGCATTCGCTGGGGTCACCGAAAGAAGCAGCACCTGCTCGGTCTGGGTCGAGAGTCCAGGAATGGATGAGAGCGAAGCACGGTTATTAGCTGAGGTCCCACCAGGACCCCACAAGAAACGAGTTGCTCTGACAGGATTCGGAGGCGAGTCCGTGAATGGCGACAATGGCGAAGCACGGAAACTCCATGACGGTCGTGCGACGACAGCCGAAACCAGAGGGGAGAGGAGGAGCTCGGAATCTCAGATCGCGGCGGGGCCAGAGATCTGGAACGCAGGACGCCTGAAGCCCTCCGACAGGATGGGTGCCGGCGCCGTTGCCCTGCTCCTCTCCTCCCTGCACCGCCTGTTGTCTGAGCACGACACCCACTCGAACGCCTCGCTCTCCGAGACTGTCTGGTGGCTCCCTGCTGGGAGGGGACGACAGACGAAGAGAGGGGGAAGAGGAGGAGCTCGGAATCTAAGATCGCGGCGGGGCCAGAGCTCTGGAACGCTCGGCGCCTGAAGCCCTCCTACAGGATGGGTGCCGGCACCGTCCCAACTCCTCCCTCCACTCTACGACCGTCGTCCGAGAGTCGTTCACTGGCTCCTTTGGGCAAGCTCCCAACGAGTTGGGTTTCCGAAAAAGAGGGAACAAACAACAAAACAAAGAGAGAGAGAGGTGGTGAACACTTGAGAGAGAGAGAGAGATAGAAACAAAAAAAGATAACACGACAAGAGAAAGAGATAGAGAGAAATAATGACGAAAGAAAAAGGGAGAGAAACATAACATGTAAAGGAGAAGGCGACTGCGACCATGAATGCGGCTGCCGTGACAACGGAACACGGAGAACCGACATACACACTGGGGAAGGTAGAACGCCAAAGGGTGACGTCTACCTCCGGGCCAAAAACATCCCCGCGCCCTCTCGCGTGCTTCCCCTCTCCCGTTCTCGCGTCGCTTCCTGCCTCCTCCTGCTTCCCCTCGTCGTCGCTCCTCATATCCTTCCTGCTCCTGATCACCATCACTGTTTTCTTCTTGACCTCCGCGTCCGCTCGGGTCTCTTCCGGTGCCCCCATGACCATCTCGGCCCCCCGTGACAGCTTCTCCCCGTCGCACCCGTCGGCGTGGCGGTGGGGCGGGCGGGGCGTCTCGACTGAGACCTCCTGGCCATCGGTGATCCTGAAGTCTTGAGTCCGCAGCAGTTTCGCGGGTGCAGGGCGGGTCCTTTTCAACATGCGGCTCTGGCGCAGGCGCCGGGCACATTCGCTCGGCACACAGTCCCGTGTGACCAGTCCCGTGTGACTGGTCGGGGGCGGAATCCTCTTAAGACTGTGGCTCCCGTCGGGGCGCCGCCTGCATCCCCGTCCGAAGAACAGGCAGCAACTCTGCGGACGGATGCTGGTCACGTTCCAAATGTGGCGCTGCCTGGGCGCCACGGTCGCCCCAAGATAGTGCAGCAATGTCACGAGTGCGGGGTGGTCGTTTTCAAACCGCGGTCCTCGCCTGAGCGCTGCGCGCATGCGTCCTAAAAAGAGTGTACCGGTTTCAGGGATGGAGGGCGGGCCCTTCTCAGAATGTGGCTTTCGCCGAAACACAGCGCGCAATCGTCTGAAGTGTCTGCACCAGTGTCATGGATGGAGGACGTGTCCTCTTCAACATGTGGTTCTCGCCTAAGCGCTGCGTCCATTCGTCTGGAAAGTTCGCCTTTCGCGGGTGGAGGGCGTGTCCTTTTCAGAAGGTGGTTTTCGCCTTATCGCCGCGCACTCGGGTCTTAAACGTTGGCAGCAGCTTCTTGGATGGCGGGCGGGTCGTTTTCATCATGTGGTCCTGGCCTAAGCGCCGCGCACATCCGTTTATTACGTTTGCCGCAAATTCGCGGATGGATGGCAGGTCATGTTCGAAATGTGGCTCTCGCCTGCGCGCTGCGCGCATTCGGCTTAACATGAAGCAGCACATGGAGTCATATGATAGAAATCCCAGGAACGGCTGTCTGGCACGACTTGAGACTGCCAGGATGCAACAGTCACGTCAATTCGCGGTGTTCAAGTCCCCCCAAAAAATCCTTACGCGGTTTAAGATGATCAAGACGAATCACGTTGACTTGCGGCGTTGAGGTCCAAGGAACGCTTTGGACGATTGTTTTCTATTGGGCAACTTCCCGCAATGACAGACATCATGCAAGGCCCGATGAAGAAGGAACTTTGGTGGGAGGGTGATTGCAATCTCGTTGACGCGGCTTGGGTTTACACTGGCCTTCCTCCCCCCAAACTTCCTCCATTCACCCTTCCTGCTCCTCCTGCTCCTGCTCCTGCTCCTGCTCCTGCTCCTCCTCCTCCTCCTCCTCCTCCTCCTCCTCTTCCTCCTCCTCCTCCTCCTCCCCCTCCTCTCCTCTTCCTCCTCGTCCCTCCTTCCCTGCCTCCCTCCCCTCCCCCACCTCCTTTCCTCGTCGTCGCCGCCCCTCCCCCTCCTCCTCCTCCTCCTCCTCCTCCGCCCCGCCGCCCCCCCCGCACCCGCTGGAAGAGGAGAACCCCGGGGCCTGATCGGGACCAAGGGCCTCCTCCTCTCCTCCTCCTCCTCTCTCCTCCTCCCCTCTCCTCCTCCTCCTCCTCCTCCTCCTCCTCCCCCTCCTCCTCCCCCTCCTCCTCCTCGACTCGCTGCTGGCACAACTGCACATCGGGACGGGCGCGCGCTCCCACGCAACGAGAAAGCAGGCAGTCTCTGGGTGGAGTGGGAACGGCAGGCGCCGCTGCGAGAGAGAGAGGAGGGGCCGAACCCAAGGAAAGCGGTTCGATTGAAACTGGACGGATACCTGTGAGAAAGACAACTATCGCGTTGGGAGGAAGGGGTTTGGGGTTGGCAGAATGCAGGGTATGAGCGAAAGCATCCGGATGCAATGAACGATACCTTCGGCCGCCTGCGTCTAGCGAAGGGGGAACGCGTCGTCACAGCAGCGCATGGACCTCCAATCCAACACCGCGCAAGTTTCCTAAGAATTGGGTTGCAACCTGCAGCCCACTTCGTGGCCCTCTCGGGGCCATCTTGGAACCCTGGGAACTTCCCAAGAAGCAGGCTGCGCCCCGCAGCCTACTTTGGGGCCCTCTCGGGGCCCTCTTGGAGCCCTGCCGAAGCCTTCGGTGGGGCCGTCCAAGAGCCCTCTTGTGTGTGTGTGTGTTCTGGGCCCTTTTAGAGCCATCTTGGACAATCTCAAGTGTTGAAGCGGCACGGCGAACCCTGAAGGTGGAACAAAGGCATGAGCAATGCCGAGGTGTTCTGGCAATTTCCCCATGAATAGTGAATTCCGCATCGGGTTCCATATTGCGATCCGTTGTTGATACGGAATTCACAAATGGTTTGTTCCTCGTGCTCCTGCAAATCTTGGGAGGTCGCGGGGCCGCAGCAGGTTCCGTATTGCGTTCCGTTCCTGATGCGGACGTAATAATAAATTCCACACTGCGTCCCGTTCGCAATACGGAATCACTACTCGTTGGTCCGCCTCAGTTTTGCATGCGTTGTGCCATGACTTCTGCATGAGTCGTTGGCACCAGCGGTGCAGCATCGCTGCCGATCGGACCCAATGGTAATTCCAAACTGTAGGGGCTCAGCCAGTGACGCGGAGAGCAGGGTTCTTCAGGAGGAACAGCTGGCGATGAAGGGGAAACGCGTGAATGCGGTGAGCGGGAACGTCGTTTCCAGCGATGTGAAAGCGAAGAACCAAGCCAAGTTCAAGCATAAGCACCAGCGCAATCGGCAGGCAATCCAAGCTGCAAAGGGTTTGGAGGATGCGACGGCCAATGCCGGTGCACATGCCAATCTAACAAGTACCTTCAGCATACGCGACAGTAGAAATGACATGATTCATTCTCCCACCCCCATGCTCCCAACCTGACACAAAATTGTCTTTCTGAATCTGGGCTTCTCCTCCCGCCACTGCTGCCCGTCCTCGCGCACGAGCAATTTCCAGCCGCCCCGACGAAGACCGCCGCGCGCTGCCCCCGCAGCCGCGGCCGTCCCCCATGCACTGTCCAACTCGGACGCCCCCAGCCCTTCTGCAGGCCACCGCCTCCGCGGTGCTGAACTGTCGGTGCGGACGGAGGGGGGGGTTACACCAAAAAAGGGGGGAGCAACAACAAATATCAACGATACGCCGCCGTGGGGAATTCGTCAGCGCTGCTGCCGAAGAGGCGCCAGGATTTCGGGCAGAAGCGAATGAGCAATAGCCTGATTGGCCACCGGCGGCGGATCATTGAAACTCTTGTCCCTTCCTAGATAGGAGGAGGAGGAGGAGGAGCAGGAGCAGGAAGAGGAGGAGGAGACGGGGGGAGAAGGGAGGAGTAGGAGGAGGAGGAGGAGGAGGAGGAGGAGGAGAAGGAGGAGGAGAAGGAGACGGGGGGAAAAGGAGGAGGAGGAGGAGGAGGAGGAGGAGGAGGGGGAGGAGGAGGAGGAGGAGGAGGAGGGGTTCAGGAGGAGGAGGAGCTGGTGTAGCCCACGCAGCTGGTGTTCTCGGCGCCTCTCAGCGCCGGAGACGCCAGCGTGTCGGGGAATGCGCCCAGAGGCGGGGGGGCCGAAACCAGAGGCGTGCAGCAGACTTCTGTCCCTCCTTTCCCCATCCCCCGTTTTCGTTACACCGACCTCGCAGACGTGCTGCAGCGGAATTTTGCGTGGATCTCTGCCAACGCAGAACACCGAATCCTCGAGCGACAAACGGGGTGAATCTCACTTGTTTTTTTGTAGTCTTCATCCCTGGCCAAGAAAATCCGCACGAAATTCGCTTCGAAATCCGAAACGAAACGAGACGCCATGACCCTTTCGTCCGACCCGAGACGCTGAACCAAACGGACATGAAGAGGTCCGCGAGGACCTCCAGAAATCTGTGTTCGTGCCTTTTATTGGGGTCCTCTGGCTTTGCTGCCGACTGCGGTGTCACGTTTGACATGTCATCAAAACGGTCGTTACTGCTCTGCTTGTTTCTGTGGCCGGCGTGGGCTCGGCGCGCATGTCGCTTATGATAAGACGGCGTTGCTCGGTCTCTGCCGTTTTCTATTGTGTGACCTTATGCTTGGTTATGCTCTGTACTATGCGCATACGATTTGTTTCATTCTGGACTGGGCGGTGTGACGTTGAAGGGCCTGTCACGTTTGATGTCTCATCCAATCCGTCGTTCCTGCGCCTGTTTTTGTCCTGTGGTCATCATTACGTCGGCGTGACTGCTGCGTTTGACAGGGCGCAATTACTCAGTCGCTGCTGTATTTCACCATATTCAACTACGCTGAACTCCATCGTGTTCCAACATGGAAAAATATACTATGTTTCTGATGTTCTCGACCAGCCTTCGTGACGTTGTGACGTCTGTCACTTTACATACGTCGTCGAATCGGTTGTTGCTGTGCCTGTTTGTTCCTGTGGCAAGCCTGACCTCGTCGCGCACGTCTAGTTTGATTATACTAAGGTGCGCCGATTATGTCAGGATGTTCCAGTAGTGAATCGCTGCATTATGTTCAAGAGTACTGTGCTTTGGTCAGCTCTGACAGAATACGAATTGTAACATTATGTTGTGATCTTCTGTTACGCTCTGTTATGGTATGCTGTTTAAGCTGTGTTATGTTCAATATGTTACGTTATGCTATGCTCAGGTTGCGGCAGAACGTTTCAGTAATGTTATAGTCGGTATGCGTTGGTATGCTATGGTATGCCCTGCTCTGCAATGCCGTATTCGGCTGTGGTCTGTTATGCAGTGCTACACTCGGTGAGTATGGTCTGTTCGGTCATGCTATGCAATGTCGTGTTCTGTGCTGTGAGTCATGCTCTGTCATACTCATCGGGGCGGGAGTCTCGGGGATTCTCGGTGGACCTGGGGATCTGGCGGCCGCGGTGTGCAGCGTGGGCGAGTTGGGCCTGGAGGGGCGGGAGTCTCGCCGACTCTCGACGGACCTGGGGATCTGGCGGCCGCGGTATGCAGCGTGGGCGAGTTGGGCCTGGAGGGGCGGGAGTCTCGCCGACTCTCGATGGACCCGGGGATCTGGCGGCCGCGGTGCCCAGGGTGGGGCTCTCGGGGGACCCTCGATGGACCCGGGGATCTGGCGGCCGCGGTGTGCAGAGGTGGGCGGGTCGGGAGGCCTGCTCTTAAAAGCCTACAGGGCAATGTTTTAACACATGGGATCTGTTTGAAAGATGGGATTTTAAAAATACATGACTAAGTTATGAATCAACGTATGCATGAACTCATCTTTGTTTTCATACTGAACCCCTGCACTTATAATACACGATCCGCACGCGGAGCATGTATTAAAAGCGGCACTGCAACGACCCCTAGCTGCCGGGTGGGGACTCGGCACCAACCTTCGGAGGCCCGCTCGGACTTCTTGGGTCGGCGCCCGGCGCCCCTCTCCCCGGCGCGACAGGAGCGCGACAGGGGCGGCGCTGGACGCGCCAGGGGGGACTGGCGCCGATCCGAGAACTCCACGAGGGCCTCCGAGAAATTATGCCTGTGTAATTTCGGGAGCGGCCAAGAGGGGGGTGTCCAAGAGGGGTGTGTGCAAATCATGACCGGCGGCACGTGTGCGGCCCAGCGGGGGGGCCAGGGACGTAATGAAATAAGAAGAGGCGCCATGAAATCAGAGGAACTATCATGGCCCCCGCCATGATATCCACCCCCCCCTAGTCATCACTCCCCTCTTTTCCGCCCCCGATAATTGTTGTTCTCGTTTGAGTTCTGGACCGCCCCGTGCAGTGCCCAGCTCAGACGCCCTCGGTCTTCCTGCGGATGGCGCCAGCTACACAACCACACCGATCCTGGCCAGGCCCTCCCTGGGCCCAGGGGTCCCTGCATCGGCCCTCCTAGCTTGGCTTGGCGAAGACGGCAAACGATGTACACCAGCCCTCGGCCCAAGACTGCCATGGACAAGATCGGTGCAGGTCTGATACTCAGAATCCTCGGCGTCGTGATTCTTCATGACGTGGGCCCCTGCAGGGGTCTCGACCCATTCCCCGGGACCGGTCTTTCAGTCCGAGCTGTTTCCTTACGGACCCCAGGGCCTGGCGAGGGCCCCCCCGAGGCCCAGAATAGCAGAACACCTCCTGGCGTGCTTGTCTTCACGACGGGAGGGGTTCTGGGTAGGTGGCGCCCTCTGGGGGGACAAAGAGGCATCGATACCGCTGCTCCCTGGACCTCTCCCAGGGCGTGCTCTGACCAGGATGTCGAGGAGAATCCATCGGTGGCGACGAGGGCCTCCCAGGAGGCCCAAGAAGGCGAACACGAGGCAAGGGTAGCGGTAGCGGCACCCGTCCCTCCTCTGACCCTCAGTCTTCCTGCAGGCCGCCGCCTCCGCGATGCACCTTCAAAGGACCAGACACATGCCTGAACATAATCTTTTGGAGGTCCGAGCGGAGTTCTTAGCATCGGCGCTGGAGTACCCTCCCGGGCGCGCGGGGCGCGCGAGAGGCGGCACTGGAGACGCCGCGAGTCGCCCAGCGCCGATCCAAGAAGTCCGCGCGGACCTCCGAACGTTTACGTTCACGTGTTCTTTCCCAACACCATCCTGTGGTGTTGGGTCCTCGTTTTGAAATGACAGCGCCCTCGCATCCCACATCCTCCTCCCGCTGCCCCCTTCTCCCGTCCCTGCCTCTGCCCTCCGCATGCCCCTGTCGGCACACTCCTCGCACGCTTCGTGGCCCCCTAGGGAGCTCAACCTCAGGCCCAAGCCAGTGGCTGCGCTCGCATGCGGTTCCCCGCCCATTCCTGCACGTCCCTCATACACTTCGTGGCCCCATAGGGAGCTCCACGTAAGGCTCCAGCGGCTGCGCTCGCATGTGGTCGCCCGCCCATGTCTGCACACTCCTCACACGTCTCGTGGCCCCCTAGGAAACTTTACCTGGGGCCCCAGCGGCTGCGCTCGCATGCGGTCGCCCGCCCATGTCTGCACACTCCTCACACGTCTAGTGGCCCCCTAGGAAGCTTTACCTGGGGGGCCCCAGCGGCCACGCTCGCATGCTGTTCCCAGCCAATTCTTGCACATCCCTCATACTTCGTGGCCCCATAGGGAGCTCCGCCTAAGGCGGCCCCAGCTGCAGCACTCGCATGCGGTTCCCCGCCCATCTCTGTACATCCCTCACACGCTTCGTGGCCCCATAGGGGGCTTTTGGGTGGCTCAAAAAGGGAGTCCAGCTGAAAGGGGGTGGTGCAATAGATTTGGGGCAAGTGTATTGCAAATTTATTGCGCCGGAGAATTGTATTGCTTTGTATTGCAAGTAACTAATGCGTTGCACGCGGAAATACACCAGCACATATGCGCACCGAAATGTGTTGCACGCCCCAAATGTTTTGCGACCCCACAAATCTATTGCACCAAATCTATTGTACCACCCCCTTGTCGCTGGACCCCCTTTTGGGTCAACCTGGGCTACCTGGGGCCCCATCACTGCGCTCGCCAGCGGTTCCCCGCCTATTCCTGCATACCCCTCACACGTTTCGTGGCCCCATAGGGAGCTCCGCCTGAGGCGGCCCCAGCTGCAGCACTTGCATGCGGTTCCCCGCCCCTTTCTGCACATCCCTCACGCGTTTCGTCGCCCCATCGGCCATAGGGAGCTCCACCTGAGGCCCCAGCGGCTGCGCGCGCATCTCGGCACACCCCTTCACATGTTCTCAAATCCCCGGCGTCGTGATTTTTTTGTCACAACGTCGACGCCCAGAGGTCTGGACCCCTTCCCTGGGACTGGTCTCTCGTCCCGAGTTGGTTTTTGACCTTCCCGAGGCCTGGTGCGGGCCTCCAGAGTCCTGACATGGCGAAAAACCTGCCGCCGTGATTTTTGCAATGTGATCGATCTCTGGGTTTCCGTGCAATTTCTGCCCTTCGAACCTCTTGATGTCCGCTAGCGCGGCCGACACCTCCTCGCGGAGCTTCGCCGCCGCCGCGCCGCCCTGGGGCCGCGGGCGCTTGCGACGCGCGGCGGCGGCGCGCTCCGCGCCGAGGGCCTCGAGGACCAGCTCCTCGTGGAGGCGGCGGGGAGGTGGCGGCGGAGCAGGAGCGTCGCGGCAAGGGGCCAGGAAGAGGGCGAGCGCAAGGAACGAAGTGCAGGAGGGTGAGGAGGGCACAGAGGGAGCCGTGGAGGCGGCGGAGGTGACGGCGGAGCAGGAGCGACGTGGCAAGGGGCCAGGAAGAGGGCGAGCACAAGGGCGAGGGGCCAGGAGGGCGAGGAGGCCACAGAGGTTGTCCGTGGAGGCGGCGGAGGTGACGGCGGAGCAGGAGCGACGTAGCACGGGGCCAGGAGGACAAGGTGCAGGAGGCTTTGGAGGCAGCGGAGGTGACGAGAGAGAGGGCGAACGCAATGACGAGGTAATCCGGGGTGAGGTGAAGTCGACCCCTCGAAGCATGACCCCTGATCTCGGACAGCCGTCCTCGATTTCGGAATCGGGGCTGGCTATCGGGCCCTGGGGCCTCCAAAAGTGGACCCGGGGCCCAAAACAGCTACCCCCAGGGGTGGGGTCGGGAGCTCTGGGGCCGCAGGTGAAACGGAACAGAGCAGAGGATGCCTGAGTCTGCAGCTGAAGCGTGGCCACAAGAACGTTGGTCGAGAACCTCAGCCTTCTCTCCGAGGGCCCGAAGCCTCCGTGGAGTTGCCCCAAGAAGCGAGGAACGCTCCAGAGCGGATGGCCCAGGCACGAAGAACAAAAGAGTGCCCTTCCAGAGCTGTGGTGCTTCTCGGCCCTCGCCATAGCTACACTTAGGTCGGGCATCTCCTCCTACAGGCGGATCTTGGAAGACACATCAAACATCCGCCGACCCTGTCGGCGTGTGTGAGGGGCTGTGCCGTTCGTCGTCGTCGTCGTCGTCGTCGTCGCTGCAGTGCTCTAGCGGGCTTGAGGGAAATCGACCCATGTCGAAACCACGTCAAAGGGACGCCCCTTCCCTTTGCCCCTTCCCCGGCGGGCCCCGCCCGTCGCCCCCACAACGCACCTCGCACGCCCACCGTACATCCCCCCGCCCATCCCCCCCAGAGCACACCCCGCACGCACGCCGTACACCCCCCGTCCAGCCCGCCCAGCACACGCCCTGCACGCACAGCCGCACACGCGCACACAGCCGCACACAGGCACACACAGGCACACACAGGCACACAGGCACACAGAGGCACAGAGGCACACAGGCACACAGGCACACAGGCACACACACACACATACACACACACACACACACACACGCTCACACACGCTCACGCACGCACGCACGCACGCACGCACGCACGCACGCACACACAGACAGACAGACAGACAGACAGACAGACAGACAGACAGACAGACAGACAGACAGACAGACAGACAGACAGACAGACGGACAGACACACACACACACACGCACACGCACACGCACACGCACGCACATACATACATACACACACACGTGCAAAGGCCAGGCGCAACACCTGAACAAAGCAAGCGCAGGCAACCACTAAATATAAGCGACTAGTGGCAACCATCTGGGCACGCAGGGGATCCCAACGATTACACCCCATGCGCAAACATGCGCGTTGGGTGCAACTCCATGCGCGCGTGCGCGCGCAAGCTCAGAGAAGCGGCGCTTTCGGTTCTTGTCCGGAAAGGTTATATGTACATCACATTTCAATAACCATGCACTTTAAGAGGTTCCCGCAGATTTCTTTGGATCGGCGCTGGACCCCTCTCACTGGCGCGCGGAGCGCGCCAGGTGGCGGCGCTGCCAGGGGAGAGGGGCCCAGCGCATATCCAAGAAATCCGCCGTAAGGATGGTTGGATGGGTTGGAAGGTGGACTCTTATCTGCTGTATCGGGGCCCGCACCAGATCCTCATGAGCATATGCAGTCATCAGTCGGTGTGCGGCTTGAATCAGCTGAGGGAACAAGGGGACAGAGCAGCGTGACTCAGAGTGTTGCCCGAGCTAACGAGCAGATATTGACGCGCGTGATGGTTCAGAGAGGCATCCTAGATGGGATTACGATTTGTTGTGACTTCCAGACCTGGAGGCCTCCTACATGGGCCCCGAAGAGATGGGGTTGGATAGTTGCGTCGCATCGCCGATGCATCGACGCCGTCGGCGTGCAGAAGATCGGGCTCCACATCTGGGAGGCCTAGACTGTTGCGACGTCCCAGCCCCAAGGCTCCACTTCCCTCAGCATCTGGGTGGGCGGATACCTGAGTGACCGAGAGCAAAGAGGTGGGCTCGAAAGTGGAGCTCGAGACCAAAATGGCCGTGGGCACGCGAGCGCCATGTGACTCCGTGCGTCCGCTCCGCTCCTGCACCCCTCGATCGTTGCGCCTTCCCAGAGGGTAAAGGCAAATCCGCTCGAAATCGGCCCTCACGAGGCCCATCTGGTGGAAGTTTCACTCTGGATCCGCCTTCGACGGCCCCGGGACCCGAAAACGCCCCTGGGAGGCCGAAGAAGGCAAACCGCTTTCTCGAACCAAGAACCTCGAACCTCCCAGGGCACCACCCCCTCCTGCTGGCCGGAACCAGTGCTGGGCCACCTCAGACCTCAGACCCCCAGTCGGCTCCAGGTTGCGGCCCCAAAACCCCGGCGGCGTCACTTCTTCACAACGTCGACCCCTGGAGGTCCGGGCCCCTTCCCTACAGGACCGGCGCCTCGTCCCGCGCCGTCGTTGTTGACGGTCCCGAGGCCCGGCGAGGGCCCCCGGCGAGGGCGAAAGTGGCGAATGTTTGCACGACGCGAGGGGTCTGGGACTTCTCTAGGGGAACAACAAGTGACATAAACATAAAAACTCGGAGGTCCGCGCGGACCTCTCGGATCGGCGCTGGACCCCCCTCCCTGGCGCGCGGAGCGCGCCAGGGGCGGCGCCGGAGGCGCCGCCTGGGGGCCCCAGCGCCGATCCGAAAAATCCGCGCGGACCTCCGAGTGTTATGTATATGTCACTTTTTGTTCCCCTATTCCCTTAGGGATTCCCTTAGTTTTTTCAGGGCGCATCCCTAAGATTGCCATCGCCTTTATTGGCGTGTCAACCTTAGGGATAGGGATAAGTTCGAGGCTGGTGACGTCCTGATGTTTGCACGACGCGAGGGTCGGGAGCGGCCAAGAGGGGGGTGTCCAAGAGGGGGGGGGCAAATCATGACCGGCGGCATGTGCGCGGCCCAGCGGGGGGGCCAGGGACGCAATGAAATAAGAAGAGGCGCCATGAAATCTGGGGAAATATCATGGCCCACGCCATGATATCCCCCCCCCCTAGTCATCACCCCCCTCTTTTCCGCCCCCGAGAGGGGTCTGGGACTTCTCGGCCCCCGGGCTCCACTTCCCTCCGCATCTGGTGCAGCGCGGCCTCCGCGCCGTCGAGGCTCCGGACCTGGGCCTCCGCTGGGGCGGTGCAGCGCGGCGTCGCCGACGCGGCGCCGCCCCGGGCCCGGGCGCCCCGCCGCGGCGTGGCCGCGGGGGCGTCCTCCTGCCGGGCAGTGCTGGGGTCGCCTCCTCCCTCCTCCCTCCTCCTCCCTCCTCCCTCCTCCGCCTCCTCCCTCCTCCGCCTCCTCCCTCCTCCGCCTCCTCCTCCCTCCTCCGCTTCCTCCCTCCTCCTTCCTACACGCAGGAATGGCCCTACAGTCGACCCGTGTCATCAGGATGCGCGGCTAGGATGCAAGGGCCCTGGAGGGCCACACGTTTACAACGTTTTTTCGAACGGGGCTGGCCAGCGAAAGTCGCTGAGGATGGGCCGAAGGGGCAAGGATGCAAGGGCACCTTTGGGAAGGTTGCCCATCGTTACTGTGCAGGTTGACTGTGCAGCAACCCCAGAAATCAGCCTCACAGACGCCGAGGCTATGACAGACGCGGGCCCGTCGCGGCGGGCCCCCGCGGGGAGCTACGCAATTATGGCGGACTGAAGCGTGGCGCGCGGCTGGCCCCCTCGGGGAAATGTCGCGGTCTGGCAATGCTGAGGCACAGCGACTTTGCGCCGCCGCGTCATCCGCTTGCTCGTCTCGGCGGCGAGCGAGGGGCGGAAATGAGAAGGAGAAGGCCTCCTCAGATGGCGGCGGGACTTCTCAGAAGCCCTCGCGCCTTCTGAGAAGTTGTTTCTGTCTTCGGGGAAGGCTTAGAAAACTTCTCAGAAGGCCGGGGGACCTCCGGGCCTTCTGAGAAGGCCCGCCCCTTCTCGCTTCCCCCCTCGCTCGCCGCCGATCGTCAGCATTTGGGGGATGCGGCTGTGGTGAGGTTTGTTTGGTCGGGGCTGGTAGGCCAGAGCGACCTTTGGTGCGCGACTTCAGGGGGGCGGCGGGGGTGGAGTGGGCACGAAAACCGAGCGCGGAGGCTGCTGAGATCGCATCGCGGTCAGCCATCTTGGGGCCCCAGTGTGCCCGCATCAAGAATCACTCTGGCGAATGGTCACGCTCTTGATTACGTGTAGACTCGGACCCAGGCCAACAAAAACATCTCTCAAGAACACGAGGCCCTCTGCCAGCCAAAACGCACAGAACATCCAAGGGTATTTCCCCAGGGTGCACAAGAACATCCAACAAGGCGAAGTACGCTAGGGCACCCTCCCCGAGCCGACCTCGATCTCATACCTCGGTCCGGCTGTAGCCGATGAGGGGGCGTGGCCACTGAGGAGGCGCACAACCCCTGAGATCCTGGTGTCGCGATTTTGTCGTACCTGGCGAGTTCGCCATACAGTATACTTGGGGCTCTACGGGGCCCTCGATCTGGGTCGACAACGGAAAGACGGGGTATGGGGCTCTGGTCGTGATTTCTGCGATGCGCAATCTTTCTGGTGACGTCGGATAAAAGAGACTCCAAGAGACAGACCTCCCTGGAGCCCCCGCACCGTGGGACCCCTGGAGGGGCCCAGAAGCGTCCCGAAAAGGCATCCCCGAGCTGCGATCCTCCATCCACCGCGACAGGACCTGTTTACCTGTTTACCTGCATGCCGTGGTTACCTGCTGCATAGGCTGGGCACGTGCGACAAACTCACAGGTCAGGGAAGGCACCCCCAGACTTAGGGGGCAGCCCTCGGGACAATCTGCTGAGCACTTCCTTCCCAGCTTTGGTGGGGGGGGGGGGCCGCACTCGCTCCGCAACCTCTGCGGGAAATCAACACAATGCCTGCCGCACACCTGACAATACAAGACCCCGCGGATGGAGGCGAGGGTGTGCGTCGCGTGGCACTGTTCCGCCAAGGGATGATCCAACCCCACACCCAGTCCACCCTCCAATGCCCCCAGATCATCAGGCAGGAGCTCCTCACGATACCTCGGGTCCTGAACCTCTCGAGGGGGGAGGGCTTGAATTCGCAGGAGGAGGAGGAAGAGGAGGAGGAGGGATGTAAAGGGGCGACCGGCTCAGGGGGGGAACGTGGACTCAGAATCGCAGATGCACCGCCGCGGCGATGGGCCCCCGGCAGCGAGCACGCGAGCTACTGGGCGCTGTGGGCAGTCGGGCCCCCGTCGGCGACGAATGGGGTGATTGGGGGCGGATTGACAGGCACTCCTCCTCCTCCTCCTCCTCCTCCTCCTCCTCCTCCTCGAAGCTCATCCCTCCTCCTCCTCTCCTCCTCCCTCCTCCTCCTCCCCGAAGCTCATCCCTCCTCACGTTGGCTCCTGGCTTGCGGGTCACTGTACTCGGCGCATCCCGCGGCCGCCGGGGCGAGATCCGGGCATCTCCCGGAGCGCTCTCGGCGAGGCGCAGCTGCTGGACACAAACGTCCCGAGGCTGGAACGCCAAGGAGACGCGGCGAGATCGTCCAAACCCCCGACCCCCGAACACGAACATTCCCCCCCCACCTTCCCAAGTGTTGCCCCTCACTGCCGAGGCGGGACACACAACACACACACACACATTCACACACACACATTCACCCACACAACACCCACACACATTCACACACACACACGTTTCCACACACACAACACACCACTTCACACACACACACACATTCACACACACACATTCACACACATTCACACACACATTCCACACCACACACACACACATTCACACACACACACACCCCACACCACATTCACACATTCACACATTCACACATTCACACACACATTCACACACACTCACACACACATTCACACACACATTCACACACATATTCACACACACACATCCACACACACATTCACACACACACATTCACACACACATTCACACACACACATTCACACACATTCACACACATTCACACATTCACACATTCACACACACATTCACACACACATTCACACACACACACGCACACACACATTCACTCATTCACACACACACATTCACACATTCACACACACATTCACACATGCACTCATTCATTCACACACACACATTCACACACGCACACATTCACACATACACACACACACGTTCACACACACATTCACACACACATTCACACACACATTCACACACACACATTCACACACACATATTCACACACACATTCACACATTCACACATACACACATTCACACACATTCACACACATACGCACATTCACACACATGCACACACATTCACACACATTCACACACACACACACACATTCACACACACACATTCACACACACACATTCACACACACACACATTCACACACACTCACACATTCACACACACACACACACGGCTGGACTCACACCTGGAAAGCCTGGAAGCCACGCACTGGATGGACATGCGGAGGGCCGCCGGTTTCCGCCACAGCAGGGCCGAGCGCGGGAAGGACATGTGGCCACCCATGTACGAATCGGGGGCGAGCGAGGGGGGCGGAAGTGAGAAGGAGAAGGCCTCCTCAGAAGGCGGTGGGACTTCTCCGAGGCCCTCGCGTTTCCTCAGAGGCCTTCGGTGCCTTCGGGGAAGGGGCTCAGAACACTTCTCTGAAGGCTGGAGGACGTCCGAGCCTTCTGAGAAGGCCTCCTCCTTCTCACTTCCTCCCCCCTCGCTCGCCGCCGCGTCCAGCCCTCGCCCAGGCTGGCCGCGTGTCCCCAGACCCCGACGTCGTGATTTGTTCACAATATCGCCCCCCAGAGGTCTCGACCCCTTCCCGAGGACGGGCTTCTCATCCTGAGTTGTTTTTTGACGCTCACGAGGCCCCGCGAGGGCCCCCGGAGGGAGGCCGAAAACAGCGACAAAAAACTTCCCGCCGTGATTTTTGTTCACAACTCGGGGGGGTCGGGGGATCGCAGGCCCCGTGTCGGGGGACCCTGGCCGTGTCGGAGCAGATCGAAGAGGAAAAACGCCGTAAACATAATTGTTTGGCGCTCCGCGAAAATCTCTCGGTTCCGGGGCCCGGCGAGGGCCCCCAGAGACCGAAGATGGCGACAAAACTTCCGTCGCGATTTCCTCACGACGCGAGGGTGCACCCAGCCTCCTGGCAGTGGTGGCCCCCCTGGCCACCGCTCGGACGTCCAATTCCCGCGCGCGTTTCGGTTCCGTGCGTGTCTTTTTGGTTGGCTCGACGATCGCAGATGCTCCTCGACCCAGAGATCCGACGTCGTGAGCTTTTCAAGACGGGGTCTCTGGAAGTTTCGACCCATTCCCCAGGACCGGCTTTTCCTACCGAGTCGCTTCACGGCCTCTGGGGCCCGGCGCGGGCCCCCGGATGCCGAAGACGGCGACAAAACGGTGCCTTGAATCTCTCATTGCATTGGATCTCTGCTCCCTTCCACCTCAATTCCCCCTCCTCCTCCTCCTCCTCCTCCTCGTATTCGTCGTCGTCGTCGATGTCTTCAGGGTCGGCGGCACGGGCCGTAAGGCCTTAGCAATATTTCAACACGTTGGATCTCTGGGTCGATGGCCACCGACGACGACAAAAATGCACGCGCCCGAGAGCGATGCCTGGGCGGCGTGGCCTGCTGGCGGAGGAGGAGGACAGGAGGAGGGGAGGAGGAGGAGGAGGAGG